AAACTCCAAAGAGCAAAAGATAACAGAGGGTCTTCCTTTCCTCTCAAGCCATAATCCGGTTAACCCTTATGCACAATTGCAGTAGGCCTCTCGAACACTCAGGGCACTTATAAATATATAAGGATTAGTTATATAGGACGATCACTTCTCACAGTCACAGTGGGGCTCCTTTCAGCTATATAAATATGTAATCGCAGACAATCACATCCAGAGTCCGAACCACAACCATACCTGCAATCACATCAACGAGCCAAATCAACAGCCCACGCGCTACACGGAGTCAACCCCAACCATCTAAGACACTCATACCCCTCGCTTTAGCCATGCAAGCTCCAAACCTCCTGTCCAACCAACCTTAATTAAATACTCAACACCTTTGTTAAATGACCATTCAATAAAAGTCCGGGTGAAACCTTAATAAAACAACGAAATCACCAAGGCTAAAGCCTGTTAGGTTGAGTGTAGAGAGAGAGTTGAAATTGAGTCGTAGACGCACGAATCGGCAACCGAACTGTTATCAGTGATAACAGAAAGTGATCCTCAAGGGATCAAGCTGGATCTAGCTCTGAACTTGGATCAAATGATCAAAAAGACCTATAACATACGGCAGACCAATCTCCAAGCTAAAATCATAAGTGTATGGAGAATACAACTTCATAATACATCCCCACTCAAAATCTCCTTATAAGCTAAACCTAAGTCTACTTTTAAGTCAGTGCTTAAGTCAAAGGTAGACCAACTACAAAATCTCCCCTATTCTGGGTGGATCGCCTGAATCACCACCTGTCAAAATACAATCTATCTCCTCTGAACTAAGAAAATTTCGGCAGCGCTTCCCGTAGGAAAAGCGTCTTTTCAGAATTTATATAAGCCCAGATATGAGAGCATAAATAATCTCTAACTCCTGGAAAGTCAAATTTTGTCTAACTCCCTGATTTAGTAAAAATTTGGGCAGCACTCCCTTTACAAAGGGAGACTTCCCANTGAGAGCAGAAATAATCTCTAACTCCTGGAAAGTCAAATTTTGTCTAACTCCCTGATTTAGTAAAAATTTGGGCAGCACTCCCTTTACAAAGGGAAACTTCCCAGATTTATACTAAGTCAGATTTGAACTCACAAGACAAACTTGAGTTCAATTTAGATAAGATTAAAATAACTCATCAGTTTTGCAGAAATTTCGGCAGCACTCCCTTTAGAAAAGTGTTTTCCCAAAATTTATACAAAACGAGGTCCAGAATTTTAGAATAACTTTGACTTCTCAAAGTCTAATTTTGTCTAACTCCCTGAATTAGTAAAAATTTGGGCAGCACTCCCTCTAGAAAAGGAGACTTTCCAGATTTATACTAAGCCAGATATATGGAAAAGACAAGTTGAACTCTGACAAGTCAAAAGTTGATTAACTTCTTGGATTTGTAGAAATTTCGGCAACGCTTCCCGTAGGAAAAGTAGCTTGCCAAGATTTATACAAAGCCAAGTATAAGAAAAGATCTCAGAAAAAGCAGGAATTGACCTAAGTAAAAAAAAATTATTATAGAAAATGTAGGAATTGACACTAACTCCTATAGCTCTGGCACATGGCAAGCAACTAAAGCAACTACCTATCAACCTGAAACTCAGACTAAGTAGTGGTCTCACTCAGTCACATGCAAGCCAAACCACAAAGGTAAGTACTTTCACCAACCCTAAGTTCATTCCATGTAGATAGTTTATGAATCTTTTAAAGTTCTTAAATCCTTATACCCATCTAACATAAGACAAAGAGCTGGACCATTCACCATAGAAACAATGTCCAACTTAACTTTATGATATACACGAACTGGTTGCACAACTACTTCTCTCTTCTTTTGGGCAGATGACTAGGCCATTCGCTATGAAAACAATGCCTAGTCGCCCTGAGCTGTTTAATATCCAAAGATTTAGTATTTCTCTGACTTTGCTTTCAAAGGAAAAGGCAAATATGGGCAGGGGACTGAACGATTCACAGTAGAAACAATGTTCAACTTGCCCAAACTATTTTCATTTATACTTTGTATTTTCTCTTTTCTCTTCTTAATGATATGGCTTAACGCTAGACCATTCACAGTACAAACAATGCCCAGTTGCCAGTTCACATGCAAATATATAGATAAAGTACTTTCCTTTATACTCAGTTTAATTTATGTGCGTGGTTTTCAGGCTAAACCATTCACCATGGAAACAATGCCTAGCCTTAGACAAAAAATCCTCCCTCATAATAAACAAGAATTAAACCCCCTTCAATCTGGCAAACCCTCAGAGTTAACTAGAGTAAACAGACCATTCACAGTAGAAACAATGTCTGATCCTCCAGAAAACAACTAAATAAACATAGCAACCGGGCCATTCACAGTAGAAACAATGCGTGGTCCTTTAGAAAACAGCCAAATAAACATAGCCCTGAACCATTCACAGTAAAAACAATGCTCAGGCTTTGGTTGACCCTTCYAAACWCATGCAAAACTACCTTCCTCCYATCTTCCCCCAGTTCGTTCCTTAGTCTGCTTTCAGTCAAAACAAAAGAGAAACTTAAACTTCAYTCTCACACATTATTTTCCTTTAGTCTGATTATGTCTTGAAGAGAAAGCAAAAATCGTAGGGACAACACATGCATACGGCAATCATACTACAGGGAGATAGGCAAAYATGGGTAGTAGTAGGTTGTACAGATGGAAGTGGTTTACCTGACGATTCYCTGYCTCCAGAACTCCTCCYGAGTCCYGGCAGGGCTCCCGCAATYRGTGGGTGGACTCCCCACAGAGTCTTGACGCGGACCTACGGGTTGCAATCCCGCCTGCCGCCTTCCTCTCAGAACCAATAGACTAGAGTTAGAGTAAGGGAGGCAGGAAGAGAAGGGTTTGACTCTCTCAGATCCAAGAACGGTGCTCTCAATCTCGCAGGAGAGGGCCTTGAAACCTTGATTCGCCTGAGGGCCCCGCAATGGCGGCCAACCGACAGCTTGGTCAACGTTCTGGAGTCAGCTTGCCGCAGTCAACCTCCTGACAGCATCCTAATTTGCATCACTAACCGTCTAGTTGCTCGACCTGGTCACCTCCCCTGAGCCTCACACCTCTCCTTAGTGCGATCATTACCGCACCGCAGCCCACATTTGTCCTCAAACGCAGCAGAAGTACTTCACGATGGTCCAATAGAACCAGCCGCAGCCCGTGTCCGGTCCGCAATACCAGCATACAACAGCAGCCGTAGTACACAGCGAGCAATTGTGCCCAATATGCTGCAGCAGATCCTCCCTCAGCAACGGTCACAATCTGCAGCATCAACAGATTAGGGCACCAATCACCAGTACCACCGTGCCACGTTCAGCGATGTCTGATCCCGAGCCACAACAACCGCAATGGCATAGTAGCAGCTTAGCTCGAGCACCCGCCAGTCAGACCAGCAGCGAACGCGAGCTGAACAAGGCACCGACCGGCCTTCTCATGCAGAGCCCTCTCTCTTTCCGACCG